TCCGTCAAGGCCTATCATTTTTATTAATGTTGTCTTTTCTCGGTGCAGTTAAGCATGCTAACGTTGGAAATCATTTCTCATTTTTTTTTCTTAATGAAAGATGATATAGCGTAGCAGATCTAATGAGATATAGCCCCTATTATGCAAGTCATTGTTGGCGCAGACGCAGTTCTGCAACGGGGGGGGGCATTTTGCACATTAGCTGCTGGTTCCGGTTCACAAGTTTCAGTCTGAAGAAACTTGTGAACTCTTGTCTGCTGTGTTTCCATTGCTTCACAAGAGTTGACAGGCATTATTTACAGGATTAGCTCGTGATTTCTACAAACTTTGACAAGTATCTTTGTGGGTTCACAGGATTTCACAGGTCTCCACTCAATGGCTCGACATGTCGTTAGAAATCTAGAGAGTGCCCCCCTCTCTGCCAAACTTCATTGTTTTTCATTGCAAGCGCCATTATCGATTGAGCTATGCGGCCTATCTATTCATGGTAAAGCAAGCTAAGTTGAGTTCTTCTTGTACCATTTACAGGCCGATTTCATAGTGGTCGATTCTGTTGATGGTCCACATCACACGGATGTTGTGGCCGCCAATAAATGCCGTAGTGGTGCCGTCTATACGCCAGTTAATGCTGCAGATTTGAGGACTGATTCTATTGGTACGCCACGTTACTTGTCTGTCTTGTTATCTTTAAGACACGAAAGTGGAGAATCCGCGATGAAGGCGAAGGCGGGAAATGGAAAGTATAGGTGTGAATCTGGAGCATCCGTGGTTCAGAGAAGCTGCAACAAAAGTAAATGGGAATCGATTCAGCCAAATCGCACATTCTCTTGTCTCGCGAATTCTTCGAATCGATAGTTATACTTCTTTCTCGCGCATACCTTCAAGCCGCTGAGTGGCTTAAATCGCGGACTCTCCTCATTAAAAGCATGAAGGGGACTTGGGCTAGAAAATATGTAGTGGCTTCTGAAACGAAATAAGCTTGTGTTAACGCTTCAGAGGACGCCACCGTATCGAGGGAACGCCAGCGTCCACTAGGAAAGTATAGGTATCGACTTATCGATCCAGCGTTTTCGTGGAAAATTTGAGCTTGAGCAAGACTGCTGGCGAAACCGCTATACGCTGGCGTACACTAGATGGATATCTCAGGGCACATCATTAGCAACGACCACCCCCCCCTCTACCAATTCTCAGATTTTCCCCAACTTTCCTGCCACTTTTTCCAAAATTTCCCGAAAACTTCCCTACTTTTTCCCAAAAATTTTGCTGTCGAGCGGGGGGGGTAATATAGTACGCCATGAAACAGAAAACGGGGAAATCACGAAAAGTCAACCGCCACTCCTTAAATAGGCAGAAAGTAAATGCACGACCACCCCCCCCACTTTTTACAAACATCTACAACGTCTGTGAAGCGAGAAAAATCAACTATCAAAATAAATTTTTCTCAGCCCAAATACGACCCCCCCCTGTTGGGGATTTCCCCAACAACGATGTGCCCTGGGATATCTATACTTTCCCAGTCGCTCGAAACGCTGCTGTATGCTAGCATACGCTGACGCAAAGTATGAACGCAGTCTGTGTGCTTTCCTCGGGAATGACACATCCCATTTCCAAAAGTTCGCCGTTCTCCCATGTCACCTGTACCACTTTTCCTCAAAATCCAAGAAGAGGGAACTCCGATGGGAAATCCACTCGCTCCTCTTTTGTGCAGATTTTGTTTTAAATTGATTCGGGAGAGGCATAAGCTCTGTGATATAAGCCTCACTATTCATGTCTTCACTCATTTCTAAGAGCGTGTTCATACTTCGCGATCAGGTCGCTTATATCGCGGTAGCGGGTCGCTCGAGTGATTGGATCGCGAAATATGGACGTCTTCAAGCATTTTTAATATCATAACTGAATTTCAGCCGTTCCGGAAGATTTAGTCGATCATTTCTCTGTTGAAAAGAACCTGATGGAATTCCAGAACACCGTGAAGGATATTTCCATGAGCTTTGACAAGGTAATGCGATTACGAAGCCATGGAGAATCCTGGTTTCTAACATTTACGATTTTCTTTTCAGGAGGCACGTGAAATCAGATTGACCTCATTTGGTACGATGTCACTGAAGAAAGCTGTTGTCCTTAGCGAAATGTTCTTCCGAGTACGTCACTTGGACTTTGCTCTCGAGTTTCTGTCAGATTCATATATGTAATTTGGAATATAGGATGTCCGCCTTAAAAATCAGCTACGTGCTCGAGCTGAAGAAGCAGAACGCCTACTCCAACATGGCTCTCAGCGCAACGAAAAGGACTCACCATTTGTCGACGAGTTCGAGTAGGTCTCACTAACCTCAGAATGCGCTGGAATTTTTCCAATAACCTTGCGCGTTCAGAGTCGCAGCTGATTTGATGGGATTGGCAATAGGAACCCA